TTGGAAAATCTATCTTCATGTAAAGGAACCACGTGCCCTCCTATCTACAGCTGCAGGCTAAACCTGCAGCTCACAGATGATTAATCCTGGAAAATAATGAGAATTCTGTGCACATTCACTTCTTCAAGAAGCAGACAGGGTTCTCCCCACCCAGAGGGACTTTCAGGTTACCAGAAAATATAAACACTGACAAGTCTTAAGACTTTTGCCCTCAGGCAAATCTGAAAAAAGCTCTTAAAATCTAATAGTTTATCACAGCAACAAGGCTAAGAGCTTCTCAAGAATACTATTTTGTTCCTGAAACCAAAAAGAGAACTGCTACAACTCCTAGAGCCATCTCATTTTCACCTATCACTGGGACAAGCCTGTCCCAAGAATTTGAACCACAGACCAAAATACAACTCTGAAGTGCCAAGTTGTTGGATACTGAATGCAAAAAGTATTTCAAGATAAGATAAATGGGCACAGTGAAAGTACCTTAAAGTTTCAGAGACCAAGCATTTCACGTCACATCATCAGTCACTGTTTCAGTTCACAGCAAAAATGACAAAAGGAGAAATTATTCAGGAGTTTTGTGACTCATTCACCAGTCTCAAGTACAGGGCTCCTCTTGCAAGCGTTTTAGACACCAAAACACTGTTAAGACTCTTCCCAAACAGTTGCTTTTAACTACTTTTTAAAGTTGCTTTTTAAGAACAAGACAGCCAGCTTAGGAGCGTAAAATATGCATTATTGTGTAACCAAACTGAGAGACACAACAGTCTCAGGAGAATCAGACAGATTCCAGCCCAATCTACCACAGCTCCACACAAACTTCTACCATCCCGTGCCCTTATCTGTATCTAAATTTCAAAATGCAGTTTAATAGTTACCTGGACCTCTGAATTGGAATCAACAGGTTGGAGCATAAACCAGTTCTCTTTTCCTGTGTAGTTGCATAAATCTTCTTTTCTGATTGACACCTTTCCTGAGGGAGGGAGAGATAAACATAAACATCACTTTCATCTGAATAGAGCGAATATTTATAGAGGTTTGAAGTTTGATCTTTTCCAAACTCTCTCTCTTTTAATGCTTTTTTTTAAGCTTATGATGTGACATAAAAAACCATGGAAACAAGGAATATCATGGATAAGTAAAGCAGAAAAGTATTTTATATAAAGCCTGATGACATTAATTACCATTTGTTATCTTAATTCTCACTAATAAGAAGATGAGGTAAAATAAAGAACACACTTGAGGCTGGAAATAACAGATCTGAGAGAACAGAAACGGCGTTGAAGGATGTTTGAACAGGAAACTGAAGTAGATGCCTTTTACTTTTCTGACTGCTCTTTGGAAAGCTGTTATTATACCAAATTATCTGGCATCCTGGTGCAAATTATTTCCTTCCTCAATTCAAATAATGGGAAGGCTTCTTCCAGGGCAGCTTTATAGCAACTGTATCCAAACATCAGCTGCAATAAAGGCATTATACAGTGGGGGAGAAGAAAAAAAACCACCTCCTGTAATTTTTCACCTAAGCTACAGAAGTGGCTGCAAAATACTTTGTAAGTCACTAAGTTACAGGTTGCACTGACAGAGAAAAAAATTATCTATAAATAGTTTTAAGGTTTATTCCACAATTCACTCTTTAAAGATCTTCCAGTAGCAACAATTATTCAAATTTCCAGTGAAGCAAAAGTAGAGAAGAAACCAGTAGAATAAAAAGAAAAAAAAAAGTACTGAGACCATAATAAGACTATAAAATGTCCTATTAGCCTAAAAAATAAACATATTTTAGTATAACCCTACAAAGCAAGGAAACAAAATCCCGCTTTTCAAAATGTAGAGAAACACTGAAGTGCACTAAGCACAGTGTTTTGAAAAATGCATCCCCAATAACTGTATCCCTAAATCCTCCAGATGCTGCCACTGGAAATGCCCAAGCGCTATGCAGGACACAGACAGCACCTCACTGACACTCACCTATCCGCAGGTCCTTCTGCAAAACACTTTTATCGTAAATGTAGAAGGACAACCACTGGAATGTTCTCGGGATCTCGAAGTAAAACTCTTCCCCAAAGTAAGGGCTGAAAAGGAAGACTGAGAGTTACAAGAGAACAGCACTTGACGCCCTTTATCTCGAAGATACGCATCAAAATGCTGCATTTCTGCTGCTGTCCCAGCCTGCAGCACTACACTCACCTGCCAAAGCCTTCCACAAGCATTTCATCACAGGAACACACAGTAACACTGCAGTGCTGCAGTGCCTGGGTATGTACAGGCAGGGGAGAAATGAGGGCACACACAGAGAGAGTGCTGTCTTCTCTGCAACTTCTGTTTCATTTTGCTGCCCTGAAATTGTTCCAGTTGGTTCTCTACCCATCCCAGATGACTTCCTGAGATACTCACAGGTTAAACCACATTAAACCCCAATTAATTTAATGACTGCAGGAACTGACATTCACTTAGCTCAAACTTCCATGTCAGACTTGCTGCTCAAAGACTCAGACTCGTGGAGGGAAGCCCTAAGCATTAGAAACTATAAACCAGAACAGTGAAACAGAGACTGTTCATCTCAAACACACAGGTTCTCCCTCAGGCTGAAATGATCACATTTGTGCAGCCAGTGAAGTTCAATGCAGTGTTTACAGTTCACCCCTCGTGTCCCTCTCCAGAACAGACTCTGGGTTCCTCTGTGTTCCACATCTCCCAAACAAAGTGTAGGCACCTTCACTCACAGGGTTTATACTCCCCCCACCCTTCAGGAGTGCTCATTGCTGCAATCACAGCCAGCAATCAGCACACTATTTCAGGACTGAACCAAACCACAGCGCTGCTTATGTCGCTGTAAGTGGTAAATTCTGAAAGTCAAGTGCATATACAAACAAAACTGCTATTTTAGAACAACCGAATTCTTAAAAGCCTTAAAATAGTTTCGATTCCAAGGTACTAACATCACCAGGGAAAGGTGTTCAGGTTCAGGAAACTTATTTTATTCAGAAAAGTACTGTGATAACAGTTAGACCACACCCAGAAACAAAGGTTGGGGTTTTATTTGTTTCCCAGTAAAGTAACATTCTGACACTCCTGTATTACTAAGCTAATACAGATATACTTATTTTTGGAACAAGCAGTTCACATTATTACCTGCTCAAAGGATATCAAGAAAAATAGGCCCCCATCCCTGTTCTCTTCCCTCCAAAATAATCACAGAAAAAGAAAACACCCATTAAAAAAGTGAAAAAGAAAAGCTTAAAACTAACTTAAAAAAACCTTGAAAACTTCTGGGAAAAGAACACAGTTGAAAAATCTAGTAGTGCAAATGTCTGGGACAGATGTTTAGAAACAAGAGCTTTAACTGCAGGAATTCACGATAAGGAATTTCACAAGTGAAAACATTCCTTTTCTATAGGCTTCAGGATAGGCAAATCAATATTAGCCTTCAACTACACTGAGAAATAATTTAAGAACTCTCAGTTGAAAAATTCACTTGTGGTTTTTCAGCTCCCCATTTCTTCACCCCTTATTAATAATTTCAATTTGCTTTGATTTCAAGGGCCGGGTTCTGCTCAGCAACCATGACTGAAGGTACAAATTCATGAGCATTACCTTCAGCAGCCCCAAACAGCCTCAGCTTCCTTACTGCCACCACTGCTCACTGTAACTGTATTGACACAATAACTCAGCTCAAAAAAGTCTGCAAGCAAGAGCAGGTCAACACTAGGAATATAAACAGAAGGTAACACGCAGTTTTATTCCTGTTGATGCATTTTCCCTAGCTCAATTAACACCACTGCTTTGTGAATCAGCTGGTGATTATTCTTTAGCAAAGTATGAGGCAGAGGGAGAGAATTTAAGGCAGAGAATACAAAGGATTCATAAAGAAATTCTTAGGTGAATACAGAACTGGCTGACTGGTACAATATAGGTTAAAGCAAGGAGGAATAATTAAAATGGAGAACTTACTCATCCTGTTCCTCAGGGATTCAGTCAGTTTAGAACTTTCATTTGTGACTTTGATGCAAGAACTTTAAAGAGCGTGACGGATACAAACCGAGAAGATAGCGCTAATTCAAAGGGAGCCCAGACTGCCATACAGGAAGAACTGGATTACAGTAATACAGGAGATTAAATTTCAGTGTGTGACACACTGCTCTGCTCTGCTACAGTAAACTGGCACATCTGTGACAGAACTGACCGATGCCCCACCATCTGCCAGCTGATGAAAGCTGCAGTTACACCAACAAGGGAATTCATTTGTGCTAAAACCTTGAATAACCTTGCACTGCCACGAAGTTCACTTGGCAAAAAAAGAAACTGAACTTAGTTTAAATTAAAAAAAACAAAAAGCACATAATTTCCCCCTCCCCCCAATTCCTCATATTTGACCACAGACTTTTGAGGAGGCTCATGGATGTTCTTTAAACTTTCCAAAGGGAAAAAAAATTCTCTTTCTTCAGAACTCAGAAAAATCCCACACCATGTTAGGAAAGATTTCTTGAGTCATCAGCCAAAATACCCCTCTTTCACTTCAGTATTCATGCTTGGTTATTTAACTTTGGATCTGCACTCTAACAACACTCCCAGTGCAACAGAAGCTCAAATCTATTTGCACATTTAAAAATAATACATTTCTTGATAGTTTCCAATCACTGCAGCCAAAACTCATTTTAATTCTATTGATAATTACTTCCACAGATGTTTAACCAGGGGATATTCACAGACTAAAATTTAGAGCTTGCATAAATCTGCAACCCGTAATACAGTGACAGACTGTGAGTTGTGTAAGAAAAAGAAAGCAAAGAATATAAAACAAAACAATGAAACTCAAAGTTGTATCTATGACTATAATCATACTGCACTACACCTTACTGAAAAGAGATTTATGAAGCTCTCAGAGTAATAAGAGATTGGAGCTTTCACCTCCTGCTCTGGACATTATTTTATTATCTCTACATTTACGGAGTAAAGTACTAACATCAACCTTCTCATTTAATCAAGTTTCAAACTTCAATATTATTTTAAAAAAAAAGGATGAAGCTGAGGTGTTTTATTTTATCAAATGTTTTACTATGCAACTAATCCCTCTTTTATTATCAGGTCATGCAGGTATATAAATTTAATAATTCTTAAACAGAGCACAATAAAAATGTCTGCCAAAACATCATATTTAACAGATGTTGTTTCTGAGCATGGCAGTAACTTTTAGGGTTTACATTAGTAAAATATCAAAAATTGAACAGCAGAGCCTTTCTTTTTCAAAGATATGCTGGGTTGGGTTTTTTTTTTTGCTCATCAAACTACTGTCTATTTTAAGGGGAAATGTTTTTTCCTTTATCAGTACAGTCTCTTCAACGTTACTCTCTGAAGGGTTACTCAGTTGAGTTTGTTTTGGTAGTCAAAGACAGTAAAATTCTGAACATTTTACGAATCTGAGTACAGCAGTCACAGATCAGGAAAAGAAGCCAATGCCACATAAAGTATTTGCAAAGCATTAAAGCAGAGTATTTGTTCCTGACTGCAGAGATGTGACATTTGGCTTTCCATGCAGAAGCATAAGGAGGCTTTGAAATGATGTTTTGAGAAAGTAAAATTCCCTGTTTGAGTTTGCCATGTGAGCAATGTGCTGCTCCTCACCTGCAGACACCTGGAGGGACAGCTCAAAGAACAAACACCCACAACAAAACCCCCGGGAACGGGAATCAGGAAAACTTGCAGAAGTTGGAGCAGACTTGCTGGGTTTTAAGAGGAAGGTTTAATGTCACCTCCAGATGACTGAATCCTGGACAATGCAGCTGCAGTGATGCTTCAGTTTTGAGGCATACAAGCACCTGCACCCCTTTGTTAGCAGCTTTGTTAGCATGGGGTTTTTTTTGTCTGATTGTTTCCAAGGCTGTAAAACAGCAGCAGAATCCACAGGTCAGAGCTGCTCAGGCAGGCAGAGCAAACCACTCTCTGTGGGTACCGATTCCAGCTCCCAGAAGAATTCCAGGAAAAAATGAGGCCCGTTCAGAGGGACATCCCACAGCATAAAAAACTCTCACGCGTGGAAAAGTTCCGGTTCCTTCGTTCTACAAACAGGTTTTACCAGAAAGACACCCCCACGAGCAGAGTTCCACCAGCACAGTCCAACTGCACCTCAGAAGCAGGAAATGAATTAGAGAGAAAGTATCAAGCAGATCGCTTTCCCCTGAAAACAAGCTGGCAAGAAAAGGAATGTTATGATGCCCAGTGGGACAGAACAAAGTAACAGCATTTCAGCAGGCTCCATTTGAAAAGCACCATTCTACTCACAAGCCTCAGTTCTGTCTTCTTTCAACCAATCTTACCATTTACACATTGCTGTAACATCTGAGGAGCTGCCACAATCAGCTCTCATTTACAGAGGTACAAGCAGAAGCACATCCACACCTTGTTTTTATTCAGAACTCGGGCAGTCTTGCTTATCATGTCCATTTAAACACTGAGCTTACCTTAAAGATTTTTCAACTACTTGTGTACGAAAAACTTCTTCTTGGTCCAAGTTTATGGTACAGAAAAAGTCTCTCATTTTGTTGGGTACTAAGTGTTTGGCGTCATCTGTAAATAAATAAGATTACTGTAAATACTGAAGGGGGAAAACCTACAAAACATTAGGTACAATCATTTTACAGTGTTAATGCCTCCAAAATTAACGTTTCTATTCGCTCAGCACACGCATTTCCATATTAATTTTCGACTCCACAAGCTCCAGGAGGGCACAGCAATTGCCACATCCAGCTTCACGTGGAAGGAGAGTGGGCAGGAAGAGACACCCAAGCACTGACTCACCAGCACCACTTCCTGCAGCACCTGCACTTTCCCTTCAGAGGTCTCATCTCGGGGCTTGACCCTGCTCAGCTTGCTAAATCCCAGCAGCCTGAGGTGATGTGGCATTAGGTCACAACAGCGAGACATGATCTGCCTGAGCTCCTGTTCACTTGGTGTTTTCTCTGCAAATACTCTGGCTGAAGGAAGCTGATTAATCAGAACTCGCCCATCAAATCTTTATTTCATTTTCCGCAGCGAGCAGCGGATTTTAAATTGGCTGAACCTTTCAAAATATACCGGTCATGAGTACTGGTTTATTTTTTCCTAACTGTCTGGTCTAGTAGAAGGGGGAAATAATCACCTCCTGACTCATCGTAATGCAGATAAGAACAAGCAGAAAAGGAAGTTTCTAATGAGAAAGAAAGATTGTGAACTCAAGAACACGAGGATTTGCTGGGCATTCAGTCCAGGCCACTGCAGTTACAGGCTGGGCACAAGACAGCCCTTTCTGGAAATGGTTGCTTCTGAGCAATCACAGCTGAAACCAGTTCCCAGAGTTTAAATTGGAAAGCTTTTCTGAGATCTGAATGCCACAGACACCTACATCGAGTTATGGCAACCCTGGCCTTCAGCTAAACAGTTATTCACACCTCCCCCCCCCCGATATTTCCTTCCCTTCTGAATGTTTTTGAAGGCAGCAAACAGACCCTTCTCAGCTTTTATTCTGCTATTACCTATTTATATAAGATATTAAAAAGTGATAGGATGAAAACTACATCAGAGTATTGAATTTTAATAACTTATCGTGTCTGAATAACAAACGACCTTTCAGAAACCAGTTTGAAACCAGATTTGAAATGTCACACATTTCTTTTTTTATAAAAAAGGCAGATATGAAGCACAGGGAGTAAGCAGCATTGCTGTGCTGTTAAGATGTAAAATCAGAGTTCTGGTTTTTCTCTCCTCCACAGTTTTTTTTTTTTTGGTGTGTGTTAAATGGTTAATTTAAGTTAAATTATTACAGTCTTGAATGTTAAGAAATGTCCAGCATTGCGAGGGCCCCTCAACTATATCAGAGTGACAGTTCAACAGGAGCACAGAGTGATCCTTTCCAGGCCAGGGACACGGACACTGCTGGGAAGCACCAACAGACACTTCAGGAACTTCCACACTTCAAACTTGTGCTCTCAGAAGCACCAACGAGCTTTTCATCAACTCGGGGGTGGGAGAGGAGGAAGTACACATGAAATTTTTAAACACTACACCTAATGTTGACGGACTGACAGACAGCAACAGGACCTGGTTTTAATGCCTTAGACTCCAAAAAGGTATTAAATTCAAAGTTACCCTCAAGTGAGATATTGCAGAAGACCAGAGAGAAGCATTAGATTGAACATTGCCTTAAAATGTGAGTGGTTTGGGGTTTTTTGGTGGGTTTTTTTTGGTTGGTTTTTTTTTTTTGGTTGGTTTTTTGTTTTTAAAGCTACTTTAATAAAACACACGAAATACAAAACCAAGTAATGAAAGAGGCTGGTAAACCCCAGAGAGCTCCTGACATCCTAAGTTTGTGATTAATAAGCATGTGTCAGTTTTCCCTGAGAAGAATTTTTATTTCTTTGTTAATACTCTGTAACTTCACCGTCCTATTTTTACATATAATATTTAAGATAGAATATTATTTAATCATCGCTGTAAAGGCACCATACAGTGGACTTTGAATGGAAATCATTATTATTACAGTTTCATGTTTTGTTAAAAGGAGTAAAAAAAGAATATTTTTACGTAATCCAATATTTTTATGTCTTCCGCAGTTTTTCTACACAAGGAAACAGAATAAATAAAAGTTTTGATTTCCTAATGAGATACAAACCCTTATTTTGCAGCCCAGGTGTCTGGCTTTAAGGCACAGACAAATTTATTGAGTTTTTTTTGGTAGGTAAAGGACGATTCTCAGTTCTGAGTTAAAAATACCCTCAGAGCACTTGTCAGGTGAAGTAAGGAGGATTTCACATCCCTTCAAACACCACACCTGGGACTGTGGGAGACTTTTCATCCATGGGAATGCTCCAACTTTTCCAAGGGGCTTATTTGCTTTAAGAGAAAAAGGCTCAAGTCTTCAATTACACAAAGTTTTCCTTTTTCTGAGAAACTTAAGCCCATAATGGTTGCATAAAAATCAAGCACTGCCAACATCAGATATCTGTCGGAATGTTTGGATTTCCAGTGCATATATATAACATCCTCTGTCGAGGGAAAGTCTGCAATTAATGTACATCTTCTTTGTCCCTGTCACAAGACATTAATGCACATGAACTCCACAGCATTTCCTCACAGGATTAAACATTATATAGAACAATTAAACCCACTCCAGGAGTGCAGCATAATCCAAGATAACCAAGTTAGAAAAAGAATGCATCCTGAATTTTGTCAAATGAGCTCTGGGAGACAACAGGGACATCTGCCAAGTGCTCCACTAAGACAGGTTTTCAGTAAACAATCTAAAAATCAAAGCAACTAAAACACTTGCTCCCCTAAAAGTGTACTAGTGAATGCCATAAACGAAAACAGAAGCTGATTTTACAGCCTAAAACACTACACTGTGAGATATGCCTAAAGCTGCAGACATCCAAGACCTCTGCAAAGCACTTCTGTCATTACCATGACACAAAAAAATAGAGCCACCGATACAAAAGAGTCGCCATAAAGGAAAAATAGACTTTCAGTGGATTTTTGCTGATGTATAACATCACTAACTTTAGATTTTACTGCCTATTTGTGTACTGCAACACAGTATAAATAACAACTCCCTGCAGATGGTGTTTTCTATACATGCAGAATTCCACAGAACTGACAATGCCTCCTTAAAACTGCCATGCTCTCTAAACTCGCATAAAATGCTCTCTAAATAAGCATAAAATGCTCTCTAAACTGACATAAAATGTGTCAAAGTTTAGGCACAGAAGTGTATTCTACTTGTAAGAAATGAGTTCCCACTGGGAACATCAGCTTTCTCAAGTGAGGTCTGCTACTGCTAATCCCTTCAGATCAAGGGGGATTACACTGTTACATTTGTTTATTATTGTTCAGTCCGAGGGTTTTCCCCTACAAAACCCGGTATTAAAATACTGGCAAGAAGCGAAAATAAAACAGTATTTGTTGTGCAAAGAGGCCAAAAGAGCATCTAAGCATTAGAGGGTTCCCAAGCTTCCACAGCACATTTAACTGGCCTATTTTTGAAAAGGTTTCTGTTTTGTTAGAAGAAACAAGTGGCTTCACAAAGTGATTTTCACACTGTTTCCAGACACGTCTTTCATTGCAGCTGTTACTTCCACTCATTTTCCAAATGGTTCTTACAGGTTCACCTTCAGCAATCAACTTTTTATATATTCCCTGGGAAGCAAGTCACAGTCCTCTGCTTTCAAAGCCACGATACAACCAGACATTCAATCCGTAACAGAAACGGGACAATAAAACCAGTTTCAGTGTCAGTCTCAAGACATTTCGCGTTCTGCCTTTTAATTCTCAGTGGAAAACTTATATCGAGATGCTGTGCAGTCCAGTGTTCACAAAACATGACAATAAAAGACAGGAAGAATGGTGTCAAAAAATAAGTCAGCTTCAGTTATCTTCGGCAACCTACTTTTCATGTATTTCCTAGGAAGCAGGTCACAGCATTCCCAGGACTATGACCTGCCTCCTAGGACATACCTAAAAAGTTGGTTGCTGAAGATAACTGAAGGCAGGCTAAGAAAGCTGGGGCTGCTCAGCCTGGAGAAGAGCAGGTTGTGTGAAGACCTCACAGCAACCTTCCAGCATCCAAAGGGGGCCTATGGGGAAGCCAGAGAGGGACACTTCCCCCAGAACTGCAGTGACAGGACAAGGAGCAATGGGTTCAAAACGAAAGAGAGGAAATTTAGGTCAAATATTTGGAGGAAATTCTTTACTGTGAAGGTGGTGAGGCACTGGAACAGGCTGTCCAGAGAAGCTGGGGATGTCCCATCCCTGGAGACGTTCAAGGCCAGGCTGGATGGGGCTCTCGTGAAAGGTGTCTCTGACCATGTCAGGAGGGCTGAAACCAGATAATCTTTAAGGTCCCTTGCAACTCAAACCACTCTATGAATTCATGCCTTAACCCCAAATCTAACAGGTTGTTTTTTTTTTTTTTTTTTGAAAGGCGATCTGCTGTATAATTTCTGTGCTAATTGCTAATTGCTCTCGGTAAGTGTGTGCTCAGCCCCGCACACCCAGCAGGGCTCTATCGCTCACACACCACAGTGAGAGCAGCTCCAGCCCAGGCCCTCTGCTGTCTTCAGGGCTCAGTCTGTTTACTGCAGACACACTCAGCCCTACACCGCATGACGGTATTTAAGTAAACACGACTCCACTCCTCCACCAAACCTAATCCTCCGACACGTTTTCACAACCGGTTCTCAACCCCAGCGCCGTGCCCGAGTGTCAACCCCTTGTTGCTTCATTCTCGAAAAAGCCGACAGGCCGTGTGAGAAAGGAAACGGACGGGCCGAGTCCGAGCGGGATGGATGTGCTCCGACACCCGAGGAAGCCGCCGCACATCCTGCCTGTCCCCCTCAGCGCGGCCGCGGTTCCCCCGCCACCCCCGCGCCGGACCCGCACTCGGCGCTTCCGAACGCCCAAAACAAAGACACCGGCCCCTCTCTCCGCCCCGCTCCGCTCGCACGAGGCACGGGAGCACCGCTGACCGCTTCCAGAACAGCCCTCCACCACCAACTTCCTGCACATCGCGCTCGTTTCGCAATTTCTGCCTCACAAACAGACGCCGGTGCCCGAGGTCCGGGCGGGAGGGGGGCATTTTCTGCTCGCCCGCTGGCTCAGGGGAACCCTCGCTGCAACCGATGCTGCCCAGCCCCCGCGGGCCTCCAGCGGCCCCGCCGCATCCATCCATCCATCCATCCAAGCATGCATGCATCCAGCCAGCCATGCACACCCCCAGCCCACCCTCCCAGCCCCGGCCCCGGCCCCCCGCTACCCGGCCCGGTCCGCACGTGCCGCCGCTCCCGCCACAAAGCCCCTTCGCGGGGCCCGCACAGCGCGGCCCGACCCCGAACCCTCACCGGCCCCGACCCCAACCCCGCACCGGCCCCGCGGCCCCTCCGCGCCCTCCCGCCCCCGCCCCGCCGCCTCCAGGGCCGCCGCGCCACAGCCCGCTCGCCCGCCCCGCCGCACACAGGGAGCGGGAGAGCCGGGGCAGAACCGAGCAGCGGAGCGCGGCGGCCGCGGGCGGGAGGGCGGCCCCGCCACAGCGCCGCACTTACAGATCTTCCCCCGCAGGTTCTGCAGCACCCGCACCTCATCGCCGCCATCCCCGGCCGCCATCGCGCCCGCATGCGCACTCAGCGCCCTGAGGGAGAGGCCAGGCCCCGCCCCCCGGCCCCGCCCCGCCCCTGCCCGGCCCCGCCCCACCGGCCGGGTGTGAGGCGATGGCAGCCGGGGCGCTCCGCCCGCTCCTCTGCGGGCACAGCACGGGGGGACGTGGTCTTAGACTGCTCCCGGAGAGGTTTAAGTTGCACATTAGGAAGGATTTCTTCACAGAAAAGGGTGATCAGACCCCCAGGGAGGTGGCGGAGTCACCGTTTCTGGAGGTTTCTAAGGAAGGACTGGACGTGACGGTCTGTTCGCTGAGTCTCTCCTGCGCTCTCGCTGGTTCGCGTGTGCCTGCTCGGCTGTGTAAGAAATGCCATGAAACAAGTGTGGAATGCCCGTCTGTCAGCGCTGCCTCAGCAGCGGGTGTCTCACCCCACAGACTGCCACGGGCAACGCCTCCCTCGGGAGCTCAAGGGTACCCAGGGCCTGCAGCTGCTCACCTTCACATCACGTTTTATAGCAATGTTTCTTGAAGACACAGATCCTAACGTGAAACTCTGGCATCTGGCTCACCCCCTGCGTTGGTGGTGGGTGCCTGGTTTGGGCCAGCGTAATCCACCCAGCCACAGGTGTGACATCAGTGCCCCTGAGGGTCAGGCTGAGCGTACAGCAGCTGCCAGGCCTTTGGGTAGAGCCTGGTGAAAGCCTTTAGTGACTGACATACCCTAAAACACAGGTAGTTCAGCAGGCTGAAACTTTCAGAAAGCAGCATAGGACTAGGATTCTTCACTTTGCACCTAAAAAGCCCTCTTCGGTCTGTCCTTCTGTTAAAGGCAGGTTTGCAGGCCCCCATCTGTCACACATCTCTTCACTGAAGTCCCCTGCTCTGCTGCTCTGGCCACCTTTCATTTCTCCTGCACAAATCCTGCCGGTACTACCATGATAACAGCATTGAGCCGTATAATCTGGCAGGCACTGCTGCACCTCATTTCTTGGTGGCTTTTCCCGTGTCCAGCTTCTCACCTGCTGCTCCCTCAGCAGGGGTGACGTTCCTTCCTCATCCCCTCGCTCCCCACGGTGGTTGGGGGAGGACAGATATGTTTGAAGGTGGCAGGCAGGGAGTGGTGGGGAATGAACTGCTTCATCAAACCACTCAGAGCCGTGTTTGTGTGCATGCAAAACCTAAACCTGAACAAAGACACGGGTTTGCATAAGCTGAATTTTAACCTGTTGGAAATGAGAGGTTCCTCTGCAGTACAAATTGAGGAGCTGATTATCCACAGTTGGCTGTCTAGGCTGGCTGCCCTGCCTGGCTGGTGAACTGAGGCTAACCCGGGCAGAGTCAGAGCTTTGATCTGAGAAAGGAGCAGGGCAGCACCCTAAAAACGGACATGTGTGCTTGAACTGTGTGTTGCCTCCTTTTCAAAGTTAGATTGTGGGACTCTACTGCCTCCATACTCTCTCAAAAGTTATGACTACAGTTGGGGTTTAATGCTTTAACTTAATATCAGCTTTCTTTGAAGTTTTCTCTGTCACACTATCTCATTTCACAGAAGATTACAGAATGATTGAGTGCATTTGTTCTGATTTTGGGTATGTCAGAACTGAGGGCTGACTAACACTTCGTTTAGATGCAAAAACTTTGGGATGATCCTTTTTAATTAGCATTTGAAATACAGAAAAGAAAAAAAAAAAGTATTTGTTGCAAGTAGCATGCTTCCAGTTTGTTTTTTTTTGGTTACACATCTCTCCTGAGAGCCATCCCAAAATGACCTGCATAATTTAGCTCAAATCGAATGTTTACTGCAGGTTACAGACGAGTGACACCTAGCTGAAGGGGGAAGTACTTTGAATATGCATAATCTTTCATTTTGTAGGTATCTTTGTATTTTCATATGCAACTTGAGATTTGCATTTTGAACTATGTTTCTTCACAGCAGTTCCAAAAAATCTGACAAACAGCGTGTAAAACGCACAATCCAGACTACAAAGGTTCCTATCAGAAGTGAAAAGAATTTTTAAAGTTTCAGGTCCTCATGAACACGCCTCAGATGCTGTAAAATGTTACACACAGCTCACCTCTCTTCCAAGTCCTCTGGGACACTGAGCAGGTGGATTGTGTTCTGCTGAGCTCTGTGTTCATCCCAAAGGGTGCCAGGAGATTCCATCAGTTCCCTTGAGCTCTGGCACGATCTCAATTTGCTGCTTTGACTGCGTTGCTTAACCTTCTAAGAAAATAACTATTAGAAGATGCGTATCTGTGGATCTCATAGATTATATGGGTATTAAAACAATTTAAAAAATGGAGAGACTTACAGGAAAATAGGAATATGTTGTTTTAATTAAGCAAAAACAGAGTTATAATCACTCTTTCTAAAAATAAAATTAGACTCTTTATCAATCCTTAACATCTGCATTTAATATTTTCTTCTAAACAAAAATACAGATGTGATTATGTAGCAAATTACAGTCTTTGACAACGTATAGTATTTACCTTCTCTTACACGTACTTTAATTCTAATTTGGTCATTAATACTCAATTAATTACTGCAACGTGTTACTTGTAGTAAAAGTGCCACAATTGAACTATAAACATGACATTGCCATCTTAAAACTGCTTTGCTATAAACTGTAGAGAATATACAGAGTTACAAAGTCGTTGTGTTTTTATCAAAATATACAAACCCCCCCCAAACCTAACACGAGCTAACAATATTTTTCTCATGAACTATACAGTTATATAAAATATTTGTAAAATTATCTTTGTATTTATAAATATTCTACCTTATTTGCTTTGGTCTATATTTATCTCCATACGAGTCCACTCAGAAGATATCTTTGTGTACTTCCTTTGTAGCATCATTATCCTCTCCTGTGGTTTATTTTTCTGTTATCCTTATTTAAATGGAACCAAAGCTGCCATGAAGCCAAAATTTCTCAAGGGGTTCATAGCATTCACCAGTGATAGAATAAGTAAGTGGACTATATTATTACTTCAGTCAATACTGTATTATCATTTCAACTGTAATTTTATTGTACCCAAGCTATAATTTCTCTTAAAATATTCAAGAAGACGAAGTTAAGTAACAAACTGTGAACCATCACACAGAATGAAGCTGAGGATCACCAACCCTTGTCCTGGCTTAATTTTGTAACACTTCACAGGGATAAACATCCATGAGCCACTGGAAATGCAGATGCAGTACAACAGAGCCCTATTCTATAAAATGCAACTCGTAGATAAACACCTGCTTTGACTTCTTTCGAACACCTCAGGTAAAGTTTATCACTTTTCCCAAAAACAGTGTTGATTGGAATATTCTGAGGGTGTTTTTCACAAGTCCATTCAGGGACAGATGAAGGTTGAAAGTTGCATTTAAGGCATGGAGACCACAGGGAACCCCACAAACTGCCCCTGTCCCTGTTCATACACAAGGACTGCCCCAGGGATATGTATGAAAGCAAGAATCTGATTTACCTACTCCTCTCCAAATCAAAGTATTTCTGGGGAGTTGCTCTGTTGTTTGTGTCCAGGCATTATTCCAGGGTGAGGAAGAAAAACTCTGTCTGCATCTCCTCTTCTGCTGAGAAGAAAGACATTTCTAAAAGACAGGAGCTGCAGACCCACCAGGAGGTGGACATTTCTATACAGGATTTCTTTAAAATTGTTTCAGGACAACAATTTTCCTAAGAACCAATGCACCTGAATAGCTCACCAGGCCACTGACGTGGGGATTTATGCAGTTTGGAAGACTGGCTACGATGAGTTCTACTGAATCTTTATTAAATGCCTCAGAGATATCATAAACCTGGAATACTTTCCACACAAGCACTCAGACCTAACAGTTATTATGGTAACTACGAAACTGAATATGGAAAGGAAAAGAGCAGTTTAAACTCCTGACTATGTTTTGTAAATGCTGAGTTACAGAAAAGCACGGCAGGACTCGGCTGTACTTCGGTACACCCGAGCCCATGAAACACTTCCCACCTTCACTGTAGAATACACTAGATTACAGTTATGTCCTTTATAAACACATTACTTCTTGTTTTAAAAAAAATGCAATATATAGTTTCTGCAGCAAAAAAATCTTTCTACAGAATACACCATGAACCTACTTATTTCTTTTGCCTAGAATGATTCTGAGTCAAAACCAGCACTGTGACATAGTTCAGTGACCAGTTACCTGTAATGTTAAGTAGAAGGGTTTTGGTTGGTCATTTTTTTTTTTCCTTTCTCTCTCTCTATCCAAGAGTCTATTGTGGCAAAAGTATTTTGGGTATTTCACATTAAATTTGTATTATTGCAAATATTCGTTTTTCTGTCACTTTTTCATTCTTTTGCAAATACTGACACACGTTTAGATGAAGAAACTTGATCTTAGTAAATTATACTAATCTGAGTGGAGATTTCCCCATTTAATGCATCTCTATCTTCTCCAATATACAGTTTTGGGTTCTGATTCTCTGTTGCACAGCTGCCACTCAGAGTACAACTTCTGGCGTTGCATTCTGTGCATTTTTCACTTGGCTTCCTTCTGAGACAAGAAAACGCGGGTTTTCCAAAACTTTAGTGCTTTCACTGCAAAACTGTTCTTTTCTATCTTGTGGACCTGGGCTTTTGAACAGATGTTTCTTCTGGTGCATTCCCAGAGCAGCTGCTGTCTTGCAGATTTTGGGGCACTGGAAGCAAGCGTATCCTTTCCCGTTGTGCTCACGGACGTGCCTCTGCTCGTGGTTCCTTTTGGTAGAGAGGTACAAGAAGCTCTGGAAGCAGAACTGGCAGTGGTAGCGTTTTTCTCCAGTATGAATTCTCTCATGTATTTTGAGGGTTTCATTTAAAGTGAACGCCTTGTTACAGTATTGGCAGACAAAATCTTTGACACCCAGGTGAATGCGTTCGTGTTTCTGGAGATTTCCAGGAACTGAGAAACACTTCCCGCAGGTTTTGCAAGTGTAGGGCTTCTCCCCAGTGTGACACCTCATATGCATTTTTAAAGTGGATGGACTTTGAAACTGTTTTTGGCATAACTCACAAATATAAGGCTTTGAAGTAGCTACGTGCCAGTGCACGTGCTCTTGACCCTCTGCTGTGGAAGACGGGTCCCTTTCACAGAGCTCACAGTGAAGATTGGGCATTTCTGTGTTGTCTTCCTGGCTGGTGGCCTTTTCCTCAGGAGCGTTCCTGAGTGCATACTCTCGACCGCCTGTGCTGTGGCTTTCCATAACGGTGCTCTTGCTGCCGTGCTTTTTCCTCCATTTGGTCTTTTTCATTTTCCTTAGCTGTTTGGATTTCTTTTTTGGTTTGTAATTATAGTAGGGTCTCCAGGGTTTATCACTGGAGTCCTGATCGCTCACATCATCACACATTTCCGTCAGCTCCAGGCATTCCGAGCTGTACAGTCTAGACGGGCTCTTTTCTTTCGCCTCCATTTCTGGTTCCTCAGTTACATTGTCCTGCTTGGGCTCGTGTTTAGATTTTCGGCCCCTTTTACAAAACAGCTTGGATCCTAAAATGTGTCTTTTTACAATAGCTTCATTGCCAATTTTTACAGTTATCTGACACAGGGGTGCAACGTTGCTGTCGGCAGACGTTCCGGGCAAGGCCGGCTTTGCAATGTACGTTTCTGTTTTACTCGATTCTTGGACAGCATTGATTGTTTTGCTTGATGAACCTCCAGATCCTGTGACGTGCTGCGTATCCTCAGCTGCTTCTGCTCTGTTGTACAGCAGTGTTTTCTTTTTATCCTTAACAGTTTTTGATTTTGTAACGCACTTCCCGTAACTCTCTGGCCCACACTTACTGTCGTCGCTTATGGACTGGCTGGGTGGATTACTCGGAGATTCGGTCTTACTGCTTTCTATGGAAGTGACTGTTTTACTGTGCATGATCACTGATGAAACTCTGCTACTGTGCATTATAACAGAGGGTGCAGAACTGCTGTAACTGATGACAGAGGTTGAGTTTTCGTTCACATTAGTTAAAGACACGACCGAGGAATCACACTCCTGAGAACCGGAGTCACTCGCAGCAGTGGAAACTCTTTTCTCAGCCGTGAAGAAGTCCCTCTGCAGGTCAGAATTCAAGATACCCACTCCCCAAGAAGAAGAATTCTGAGTATTCGTGGAAGGTGCTGTATCATTACGTGAAGACGTATCCAAGGCCAGGGTTCTGCTGTTTGCTATTATGGTATGCTGAAAATTCAGCGGTGGTAGCTCAGAGCTCAGGGAAGTGGGAATGAAGCAGTTAGTAGCAGTAGTTTCGTTGGCCTGGGCAGTTGTTTGGACATTTTCATATGAAGAATTTCGGTAGGACTTGTAAGGCATTCGCCTGCATTTCATGGGCAGGAGCCTGTACAGTTTGTACGGGTACATGCTGGGCTTTAAACCTCCATTGGCCGTCTTTTTATTCACCGAGAGGCGATGGTCGATGGCGTGGAAGGACTTCTGGTGATTTTTCAAAATGTAGTAAGTCATGAAGGTCTCCAGACAGAAGATGCACTGGTAGCGCCTCTCCCCGGTGTGCCAGATCTCGTGCCTGGTGCGGTACTCGGCCAGCGCGAACACTTTGTTGCAGTAGTGGCAGGGGTACGTCCTCCTCCACGAGTGCACGTTGGCGTGTCTGCGCAGGCTGGACAGGGTGACGTAGCTGCGCTTGCAGACCACACAGGTGTACAGTATCTGCCCATCCACCACTTTGACCAGATGATCTGTCTCGGGCAAGGCGCAGTTTGCATTAGGACGCTCAGCCACGCTGTTTTCAGACAGCAGGGGCTCTGTGTTTGCATAGGAGCCTCCATTCCTTCCCTCTGCAGCAGTGTAGTTATCTGCAAAGTTTTGTTCTTTTCCACTGTGAACTGACAGACTGCTTGATCTCACGCAGACTTGTTCATGACTTTCCAGAATATTCCGATTTGCAAACTCTTTGCTGCAGTATTTGCATATGAAAGTTTCCTGATGCTCTGAGTGGAGCTGAAGGTGAGCAGTGAGTGACGCCCTGTCATTGAATGATTTTGCACAGCAGGTACAACTGTAAACAGGTGGAACGACGGTTGTCTCAGATGCAGAAACATCAGCAGAACTGTTTTCCTCTTCTCGGGACAAATGGAAATCTCCCGCTTTATTCTGAGGTTTTGGAAAGGCAGTAATTGTCTGATCAGTACATGCTTCGTGCTGGGCTTCTGCAGTGGTCACCGTACAGGCTGGTGCTTTTGCCACAGCCAAACCCGTACCCTGGGGCTTGAAGGCTGGCTTGGAAGCTCCACCTGCTTGTTTTCCCTGCTGAATGACTGGGGTGGGCTGGTGATTCTCATAGCGCTCCTCACCCCCCTGGTACGAAGGGCTGCTGTCCTGCTCCACAAACGGGGCTCCCTGGGAAGTGTCTCCCCCAGAAGAAACTGCATAGGAGTGCTCAGCCAAGGTGCTGGCTGGCTCAGCTTCCTTGCAAACGTCGCTTCTGTCCAGGCTGATGTTGGGAGCTTGGATGGTGTCAGACACCTTTTTAAAGCTGGCCCTCAAATCAAGCGGAGAAAACAAACTGTTCTCTGTCTCAAAAATTGAGAATGCATTTGTAATTCGTGGTCCATTGGTCACAGCGGAGTCTTCGTGTCTCTTTTCGTGTTTCTCCTCTTTGACGTTCCCTTTCTCGTTAACGCAGTATGCGTAGGGGCAGGGGGAACTTGAAAAATTTACATCTGTCAGGTCTTCCAGAAATGATATCCCCAGCTTTTTCCCTGCAGCTGCGAGGTCCGTTACAGTCTCCTGCCTCTTCACAACTACCGTGGAGCTGTAGATGTAATTCAGGATTTCTGTGAACACTTCGGCTTTGAGATCATCCAACTCCAGCACGTGCCCCGAAATACAGATAGTACGGCTCCAAAAAATGTTTTTGAAGTAAAGGCTTGAAGCTGCCAGCACATTACTGTGGGCTTTGAATTTGGTATCCTCCACAATGATGGTGACATCACAGAGAATGCCCCGAATGCGCTGCTCGTTTAAAATGGAAAGCACAGTGTCGCTGTGGAAGTCGTCCTTGAGATCCTTTGAAGGGGACATGACTGTCACCTACAAGAAAAAAAAACACATATATTTAGAAGGCATTTGTTCAGTTACAGAGTAAAGTTATAGCTTTATGTAATGTTTTAAAATTTATTAGCTTTTAAATTTTAAGCATGAGTAAACCTTGTCGTACTGTTTCAGGTTTAAGTCATCTTATGTTCGCTGGTGCCAACATCACTGCAGGAAAGGTGTGTGCAGATGAAGGAGGCAGGAGCACCGGTGGCTCCCCAGCACGAGGCAGAGGAAAAAATTTGAGAGTAAAGCAAGCAGAGAAGAACAATTTTTTCTTCAGTTATAGTTTAGATTTACACTTTGTAATTTCATAGTTTCTATGAAATTTCATAATTTCATTAATTTCTAACAAATAATAAGATTTAATTGCAATAGTAAATGCCACTAAATTACTGCCAACATATAATAATGAGATTTAATGATTACCAACAAAATGTTATTAGCCAGGCTGTTATTGTATGAATATACTGGTTTATTCCATTGAGAAAAAATACGCAAAATAAACATGAAAAATAGACTGGAAAAAACGGATTAATTGGACAACTGAATATTTAATTTGGACAACTGAATTTTTAATCTGTTTAAAATCTCTGTCTTCTTAACCAGATGATTTTTCTGTTTTGTTCGAATTCAGATCTGTATCATATAATGAGGTTTGTTCCTTTCTTCCCCATCTCTGTGCTCTGTTTTCAATTACTGCTGCCCATTTCTGACTTCAGGTCATGAAGAAACAGTTCTTCTACTGGCACTTACCAATCACTACAGCAAAAAAAAAATCACAGCTATTAAAGATCCTTTTCTTTCAAACTGTGGAATCAAAATGCACCTCAAAGTAAATTACCAACTGCAGGTATTTTGTAAGACAGATTAGAATAAGACAACACTGGAGGTCTAAGTTAGGAATTACCTCGTTTCTATCAGGAAGGTGTTGTCTAGGCAGATGGTCAGAGCTTCCAAAACAGTACAATTTCCAAGGCAGAGAATTCAGAACAAACAAAATTGTGATTCACAAAAATACCTCTAATCCTTACACATGCCACCAGATGTCAAGAAATGAATTCATCAGTGTAACAGTGACAGAAATGGATATGAATATTATTTGGATTGTCTGGACACTCACAGTAGCTGTAAATATAGATGCATTGGTTTGTGCCTTTTAAACTTAAAATCATAATTGGTGATGGCCTTGTTTTTGACACTTATTTTGCTTAAAATAAGGGATATTTACTCATTTGGCAGGATAGCCTGGAATTCACAATCCTTAGAAATGGTTATCTGCTTTGGTTCAGCATCTAAAATCCCAGATATAACTGCAGATATTTCTGGCATATCGAGTCTTCTACAGAAAGCACGCTGACAAAAACACTTTCCTTCCAGCAAGCAGCCACTACCCCATAATTGATTCTTTTTTCTCATTGACAATGTCTGAGATTGCATCTGACTGGCTCATGTGATGTGGTATCAGAAACCAACTGTCAGACATCAAAAACATCTCACAACAGGAGCTCCTGATAGGGTGACTTCCTGAGTATAAGAAATAAATGATGTCAACTCTACCTCCCAGTGAACTGCCCCACAGGAACTTGCCTGGTTTTTTTTCCTGTTTCTTTCTTGGAGACAGCTGGTTGGAGTTCAAAGACACATCATCTGACAGACTGTTTGCTAAGTGTTCTCAGCCTGCTACTGCTACGATGAGAGGCATCCAAACACGAGTGGGTTTAGTGCAAAGTCTTATTATTCAGCTTGTTATTTAAAAATTTATCCTCCTAAGGATCAAAAAGTGAATATTTTAAAGTTCTAATTGCATGTATATAGATTGACAGTTTTTGTAGTCCTGGATATTTTGGTATGCTCAGTAAAATACCAAGCCAGACTCCTTGTGTCAACATGGTAAAAAATATCATTTGCTATTTGGTAACTTTTTATTTTTTCTTTCCTTTTTTTTTTTCTTTTTTTTTTTTTTTTTTTTTTTTTTTTTTTTTTTTTTTTTTTTTTTTTTTTTTCTGTGTGCTAAACCATATGCTATATATCTCCCTGGAAAGCTATATAAAAAAAAAAAAAATCCACAGAAAATTGGCTTTCAGAGCCAATACTTTTTGCTTCTCCATCTCCACCTACGCATTCCTCACATAGCCCATTTATTCCTGTCTGTAATGATTCTTTACTGGCTTCTATTTTACCTGTCTTGTTCTTGTATTTGCAGAAAATGTGTCTGAAATGCTATCAAAAGCAGAACACCCTTCCTAGCACACACATAAATGGAATATTTCAGGAATGTTTTACGTTCCATTTGCAGTTCATTCTGCAAAATGAAAACCTGCTCTTTGGTTTCCAAGGGAGCCCTACCAAGACCAAAATATACAGAGATCAAACTTTGCAGGTGTATTACTGTTAAATATTTTTGATTAAAACACGGGAAAGTCAATTTAGAACATAACTGTTCTCCTGTATGATTTTTATTGTAGAATCATTGAAGGAACTCTAGTATTATCTATAAATGCTGCCCAAAATGTATGTAAATACCACTTGACCTAGTGAAGGTCATCAAAACTCTTCAGCCAACTGAGCCATCCTTTTTTGACACAAATATGTTTGTTATTTTGACACTTTTTACTCTCAATCCAGACGTAAATAATTTCTGAGGAATCTTAACAGTGCCTTTGTAGTATAACCTGTTGGTCTTTGGGACAGCTATAGATAAGTTTAGGTTATGAACAGCAGAATTTCTGCTTGGGAGTTACGGGTTCTATTTGCAGATTTTCTGCAAAAACAGTAACAGACTTAATCTGCCATTATGAGTTGTTGAATCACTGTAAGAAATAAGATTTAAATATTCATCTGAAACTTAAGTGCAATGGTCAGCAGGCTGATTAAATTATAACGGTACCTTTTCTGACATCAGCAGAATATCACTGCAGGACAGTAAGTGAAAAAAAGTAATATTAAAAGTTAATGTCAAGATCAGAGAATGATGCATCCAAACACAAATTTGACTGCTTATGCCTCACAGATGGCACTGCTGATTATAAATACCAAATCAGCCAGCTCTACATGAACAGTGCTGAAATAAGAAGCTACTGTTAATTTTTATATTAATATTACTTCTAAATCAACAAAGGGATCACAACAAGTTTCACTAGCGAATAAATACCAAGTATGGTTTTTTTACTACTGAAGAGAAGTGTTGCAATCTAGGAATATTCTTTTAACTTCTGCTAAACTTTTGAAATCCACTACCAGACAAGTGTACCCCATTACATATGACAAGAGATTCTTTTATTCCACTTCAGTCAGCTAAATTTGAAACACAGGCTAGTGGCACAGCTAAAAAAAACCCAAACCAGTAGTTGCTACTACCCAGTCAAAATAAAACCCAGCCAGATAAGTGATGAACTGTTTTCTCATTCCTTAGATTTCTATTGGGATTTTAAAGATGCCTGTATTTTCTGCTACTTACTAACATGGCACTGTGGAAAGAGGTTCACTCCATGATTTCCTCATGTTCAGCCTCCCCCCACTCTGTTAACCTACTCTGAAGCTGCTTCCCCAGCTCAGAAGGGACGTTCCCCTCTATCTGACTCTCCTAAAGGATGCCATTTTCTTCTAGAGCAGAAATGGGGGTACACATCACCAATGGACAAAAAACCCCAAAATAAACACAAACACCCCCCCGTATCCCCCAGCTCTGATCCCTGCTCACCCGGAATCCTGCTGTCCCACCATCCCTGTTAGGATGACTGCCCAGCTTTTTATGGGATCACTTCACCAGTCCCCCCTGGGAAGCACGGCTGCCTCGTCAGGGTCCCTGCAGCCTCCTCAAACCCCAGGCACGCAGGGCCGTGTTAATGATGTCTGAGGATGTTAATGATATCTGAGGATGTTAATGACGTCCAAGGCCGTTCAACAGCTCGCAGGACCACGCAGGACAGGGCTCCAGCATGGAGCTACCCCTCATTTCTACAAGTGCATTTAGAGCTTTACTCTTTTAGACTCTCGCTGCTCACGTCCTTCCCTGTTACCATCGAACACTTACTTACCTGATCTGTTTGTTAAAGCCTCATGAGCATTATAGACTTGAAATTTTTTTTTTTTTTTTTTCAGCCTGGCGCTTTCCCCTTCTCAGCTGGGCGGAGGGGGGTGCTGGAATTTAGCCTAAGAATGGGATGTCAGGGTTAACAGCCCTCTGAGGCCACGCGACGAGCCCTATGCTCAGAGCTGAGACTCCATCCCACTATTGGCATCCTCACCTCGTTCTCTCGCTCCCTCCTTTAACGTTTCCCACGAACTTTTCCCACCGCACGTGCAGGGCCTGGGCAGCGCCTGGCTCGGAACGAGCGGGGTCTGTGCGCGCTGTCACTGCCCCGGCCCCAGAGTCCCAGCCCACCCTGGGCCCGCTCCGAGCGGGGTCTGTGTGCGCTGTCACTGCCCGGCCCCAGAGTCCCAGCCCACCCTGGGCCCGCTCCGAGCGGGGTCTGTGTGCGCTGTCACTGCCCGGCCCCAGAGTCCCAGCCCACCCTGGGCCCGCTCCTCGGGGGTCCCGCCCTGCCTGCCGGGCCCGGGCCGGGGGCGCGGGCGGTGCCGGCGGTGCCCGCGGGGAGGCGCTGCCCCCGCGCCGAGCCGGCCGCGGCCCCTGGCGGGCAGCGCGGAGCCGAATAGCCCCTCTGGAGCCGCAGGGACGCGGCCGCTCCATCGCCTCCTGACCCCGGAGCGGCGCCGCGAGGCTCGGGCTGCCGGCGCGGCGGCCCCGCTGTGTCCGTGCCCCTGAGAGCGGCGCGGCCCGCGCGGGCCCCGCCGATGGCGGAGCGCTGAGCCCGCGCCGCCCCTCCCGCGGGAGCCGCGTACTGACCTGCCGCCGCTCCGTGCCTGCCGGCGCCGCGCTCCGCCCGCGCACAGAGCCGCTCCCGGGCCCCGGGGCAGCGGGCCATTAACGCCGTGTCGGCGGGCTCCCCGCGGGCGGGCGGCGGGCTCGGGCCGGGCCCGGGGCCGCGGTGCCG